CATGGCTATAACCATGACGTTATAATTTTATTTATTTTTAATTAAATACGTTAGATACCAGCTGCGTTTGCTCGACCGTCATACTTAATACGTATTTAGTTCCAGTCGTCGTCACATCTGACGCGTATTCGCCTACCGAACATGGCGGATTTAATTATAAAATATGCGAATGTCAGACGTGCTCAGATAACGATGTTTCAGCTGTTCTTTATGGCATTATGTTTAAAATTAGGTTAAACAAATTTCGGCCATTGTGATAGAGTTTGAGTAACTTTTTCTCTAAGTAGTCTCTAAATAATTCAATTATTTTTACAATTACTTTTAACTCAAAAGTATTGTTTTGTTTTTCTGTTGGGATTGTTATACCTGGTTCATTTCTATTTTAAGGACTTTGAGATGTATTTTTCTGTGACTTGCATTGTGCATTTCTCTGAATAATAAGACTGGGATTTGGTTGATATTCGTGATATTCTGTTATTTGTTAAACTAAAATCTATAAATATCACTTTAAGGTTTTGAAATTTGGTTTAAAACTTTCCTTAACAAGAATAAAGAAAAACAACTTCGTAAAACCCAATTTATGCCAGTGGTATTTGTGAACTTTTTTACAAAATATAATCTCTTTCCACATCTTTTGGTGTCACGCGTGTATTACTTATACCCATTTTAATAGGGAAATATAAAAACATCGAGTTTTGTTAGTGTTCGACCTATGTCGTCTCAAATCATCAACAATTTCCTCCTGTTAATCGTCATATTTTTGCGGTATACTATTTGCTACAAGATTTATTTTTTATTTCAGAACAAAAAATTTAAAGAACGCGTGGGCGGGCGGGGTTAAGTTTGATTTTTTCAGCCTTTTATAAAAAAAGCAATAGCCCCGCCCACCCACCCCGTCTTCATTCCAGGAACTACTCCTAATATTATTCAATCATTTACAAAAATATCTCAACAAATACTAGCTCCGCCTTCTATTTTCTTGGAAGGTATATCATTCACCAAAATTAGCCTTATTTTAGCAAGTACTAGCCCCGCCCACCCGCCCTGTTCATTTTTATTTCAGAAGAAACAAATTAAAAAACGGGTGGGTGGGTGGGGTTAAGTTTGACATTTCCACTGACTACTCCCAATATCGTTTAGTCATTTATCAAAATTAGTCTTATTTTGGTAAATATTAGCCCCGCCCACCCGCCCTCTATTTTCTTAGAAGTTATGTCATTGGCCACAATCAGTCTTGTCTTAGTAAGTATTAGCCCCGCCCACCCGCCCTGTTCTCATTCTAACGATTTTATTTCTGTTCACTATAAGACAATTTTCATTGAAAGCAGATTAAATGAATCACTGAAATGGGGGCGGGGCGGGTGGGCGTGGTTAGGTTGGGATCTATATACATACACAGCGGAAAATTTCATTTTGAGAAAACTCGTCTAAAAACTTTCAAAAAATTCAGGGTTATAGATCTTGACGTGCCGATTTCAAAAACAAACAATAGCCCCGCTCACCCACCCCCTCTCCATTCTAGTGACTCGTCTTAATATTGTTTAGTCTTATCTTGGCAACTTCTAGCCCAATCTATCCTTCTTCTATGTTTTTACAAGATAAGTCATTTGCAAAAATTAGTCTCTCAGCAAATACTAGCCCCGCCCACCCGCCCTTTATTTTGTTAGAGATTATGTCATCTGCCACCATTGGTCTTATCTTAGCAAGTACTAGCCCCACCCGCCCACCCTTTATTTTTTTAAAGGGTATACATTTACCAAATTCAGTCTTACCGCAGCAGATAATTACTACTTTTGCCCACTAGCTCTGTCCTCATTCTAACGATTTTATTTCTCTTCTGTATAATATCCACCTTTCATTGAGACTAGATAAAATGAATCACTGAAATGGAGGCGGTGTGGGTGGGCGCGGTTAATTATATGTTCTCTCGTAGAGTAGAAATTGGAACTAATAGAACGTAGGCTGTTAAAAAAAAATAAAAAAGTGCTAATTCTAATTTTTTCGGTATACTATTTGGTACAAGATTTCTCAACAAATACTAAGTATACCCTCACGGGTATAATTTCAGCGAAATCCATGGCCAACACGCCCTTAGAATCATTTATAAAAGCCCTGTATATATCAATATCAATACTGTAAGAATATACACTGATTTCCATAAAATTCCGAACACCTCGAAGGAATTGAGCCATTTTGTTCATATTGTCGGATCCGATATGGGGACAGCCATGGAAGAAATTATTAAAATTTCAACAAAAACCGTTAACGTTATCTTACCGTTTTTACCTTTTGAAAACAACGTTTCGTCTAGCAGAATTTTGCTTTGAATTTTAGGACTATCGCATAGAAAACAAAGTGAAAAATGCCAGGAGGGGGCGGGTGGGCGGGGCTAGTATCTTCTAGAATCAGTTTTATCTTAGCACCTACTAGGCCTGCCCACTCTCTTTTCTTAGAAGGTATGTCATTTGCCAAAATCAATCTTATTTTAGCAAGTTATAACCCCGCCCACCCGCCCTCTTTTTTGTTAGAGACATCTCATTAGCCAAAATCAGTCTTATCTTAGCAGCTACCAGCTAGGATAAGACTCATTTTGGCAAACGACAAACCCTCTAAAAAAAGAGAGGGTGGGTGTGCGGGGCTAGTACCTGCTTGGATAAGACTGATTTTGGCAAATGAGATCCCTTTAAGAAACACATGGCGGGTGGGCGAGGTTAGTACTTGTTAATCTATGATCAATTTTGGCAAATCACAGAGCCTCTAAAAAAACAGAGGGTGGGTGGGTGGGGCTAGTACCTTCTAAGATAAGGCTGATTTTGGTAAATGACGCATCCTCTAAGAAGTTTAATTAAATTATTATTATAAGAAAAGACACTACTTATATTTCCCGAATTTGTTTTTTGGGTTTTCCAAGTATGACATGGAGCCAGTAAGATTAGTACCTTTTAAAACCTTATTTGACTGACAATTCTAGGATTTAATAAATATGTTCATCCGAGCATGTGGATCTGAATATCCTTTAAAAATTAGCTACCATTATTATCGAGTGTACGCTGTGGATGGGAAATTTCGAAGGTATGACTATGGGGAAGAAAGAAACTTACTATTATATGGTGACAAGGAACCAACGCCGTACCCGCTGGAAATTATTAAAAACATAGAATGTCCCTCTGTAAGTCACTAATACCAATTTAACACTTCAGCAGGAATGAGGTTTTTAGGCAGCTGAAAAATTATACAACACGTTGCCAAAAAATACGACCGTCTATAGGAAACTGATGGTAGAAGGTTTCAATCATCTGGATTTTTCTCATGGGCGCTACCGTAACGAAAAAGTCTATTCCAAAATTTTGCAACTCTTAGATAAGATTAATTTAAATGATTAATGTTAAATGTTTTCTAGGTCTGGAGAAAATTTTAAAGAGAAGTTAGTTTTTAGCTAAAGAATTACTTCAGTATGTAATGGATTTTCAGAAATAAATCTATTAGACACATGTGTGTTTTCTTCGTATAACACGATTACATAAGAACATAATTCATAAGGTAATTTCTCGTAGAAAAATAAGGATTTTACAATTAAACTCCGCCCCTCGGCTCACGAGGAATAGAAAAAAATCATTAGAATTGAGATAGGGCGGGTGGGCGGGGCTTATATTATGCCTTTTGTTTTCTTCATATACACTGCCATTTTTCACAACAAGAAACAAAAAACATGGTTAAAATGGTATATTTTGGCGAGAAAATATCCATATTTCCTTATACAAATTTTCATTTTAAACATGTTTTAAGTTTCGTGTTGTGAAAGGAAGTCTACACATATTAAAACAAAAAGGCACAAAGTAAGCCCGCCCACCCGCCCTATCGCAATTGTGATGATTTTTTTTTATTCGCCGAGAACCAAGGGGCGGAGCTTAACTGCAAAATACTTATTTCTTTACAAGGAATTAAAAACACGTTTTTGAGTATCATGTTGTTCAAAATATATACTATGTATATTAAAAAAAAAAGGCAAAATATAAATCACCTGGTAAAAGTAGAATGCATAGCAAAGAAAAGACAACACAACGAAAAGAAGGTACAAATGATAGAAGACAAATTGCAAACAAAGATAAGATCATTTTATCAAGAAGCGAATAATAGAGTGTGACAAAAATAACTTTATCAAAACAGAGCAAGAGAAGGAGAATTGGTATGTGAACTCGTAAAAATTACGCAAAAATGGATGGAATATCTCTTTGAATAGGGTAGAAGAGAAATAGAACACCAAGGTAATAAGGAAGATATAAAAACGATAGAACCTCCAAGTAATGATGAACTGAAAATTATAATTAAGAGAATGAAAAATAACAAGAAGCCCGGGAACAGTGAAATTCTAACTATGCTGTTAAAAAATAAGGGGAAAAGGAAAAAAGTATGGGATGAAGAAAATTTGCCGAACGACTAGCCCAAAAAATAGACCTACTTCTAGAAGTAGTTATGAGAACTGGTATTCTAAAAACATTGAAAATCTGGTATTAGAGCTTTCGGACGACCTAGTAACAATTTGGAAATAAAGAACAGGTTGTTAGCGAGAGGAAATCAAAAATATGATAGTATGTCCATGCTAATGAGCTCTAAATACCTATTAAAAAGAAACAAAAGGAATAATACACCAGACAATCATTAAACGAATGTACAGTAACTTACCCAAAGAAATCAGCTGAGGCAATTTTAGAGAGGTGGAAAAGGAAAATACATAAATAAATATGGAAGAATAAAAACTGAGGAGAGATGGAGAAGAAGAATAAAGAGGGAAATTAAAACTTTGTACAAAGAACTAAGCATAATAAATAGGTTCGCTAAACTGCAAAGATTGAACTAGTTGGAGACATAGAGAGGATAAGTAGAGAAAGAATGCCAAAAATGGTACTTTACAGAAGACCAATCGGAAACAAGAAGAAATGAAGGCCAAAAACAAGATGGTATAACAGTGGGATGAAAAATTTTGAAACATCAAAGTCGAAATGTGGAGGACAAAAGCCTTGGAAGGCCAGTGTGAAGGACGCTAGTGAGAAGGATCAAGGAAAAACAAGAGCAATAATTTATAAACAATAATTTTATCTAAATAAAGTCGTGGAAATAACCTTGTGCAAACTACTATGATAACACATTGTTATATAATTGAATAATTATAAATTTTATTCTTTAATTAATTTTTAACGCGACTCTAAATCATTAACATTACTGTCATCATCTGCAATATCATTATCATCTGAAGCGAAATTAATATTGATAATGACTTGATTTGTTTCACAATTGTCCAGGATCTTTTCCGTTTGCCATACCGAATCTGATTTTTTTCGTGTACTTAATATTATTTTCCCACTGTATATTGGAAACTTAGTTTATTACGTTTTCCAAAGTTTTCAGTCATCAACAGGAGAAGTATTAGTTTTTGGAATACTTTTATCGTCCTTTCGTTTACATCCCGACCATACCATTTCACTTAAAATGACAGTGGTATGGCGGAAGTCTTAGGACACAATGTCCATGTTCTTGAGCATAATGATCTAAATTATACAATTTTTCGGGCAGTCCATTGAGCACAATATTCCAAATCTAATATTTCATCGCTGTTTCAATATAATCTATCTTTTTTGTGATTAACCATGCACGGTTTTTTTCTTTGCCAACTCTTTTGAGGAATTTCTTCTTATAAGTAGAGCAGAATGAAACGAGAAGAATGAGAAAAAGAAAAGGTGAAATAACAGTGAGGGGAAAGAAGAAGAAAAACGAGTAGAGGGAAGGAGGAAGAAACAGGAGAAAAAGAAAAATGAAAAGAAGAGCAGATGGAGGAAGAAGTTAAGGATGTATGATGGGGAGAAAAAGAGGAGGGAGAGGTGGGAGAATGCGGAAAGAGAAAGGAAAGGAACAGGTACAGAGGAGGGTGAAGAAAGAGAAGAGAACAATAAAAAGCAGGGGGAGAGAGAAAGAGCAGGATGGGCAGTAAAGAATAGAGGAGAAAAAGGTGGAACGGGAAGAAAGAAGGAAGACCAAGAGGGAGGAAGCAGGAGAAGCAGGATAAGAAAACGGATAAAAGGGGGCCATGAGAAAAAAGAAAAATAAGACGAAGAAGAAACAGAGGAAGTGAATAGGGTGATAAGAAGTTGTTTCAATGGCGAAAAAATGAATTATTTTGTGTCAAACATCGCAGTACAGAAAATATTTTTCAACCAGAATAAGATATGGGGGAAAGGAAAGAAGAAGAGGAAAAACAGTGCAAGAAAAGTGAGAAATGCGAAAGAAAAGGAAAACCAAAAGGAAGAGGAAAAAATTAAAAGAGAGGGAAAGGGTAAAAGAGCGGGAGAGAGAGAAAGAAGGAGCAAAAAGACAGGAGGGACTAAAGAGAAGGAAAAGGAGGAAGAGCCGATACAGAGGACACACGAAGTAAGGGGGTGAAAGAAGGATGAGAAAAGGACCGGTGAAGGAAAAGTAAGGGGAAGCAAGGAGGAGGGACGAGTGCGGAGAAGAATCAAGATAGAGAAAAAGAAAGAAAGAATGACTGGAAGGAAAGCAAAACAAGAGAAAAAAGCGGGGAGCGAAGTAATATGTAGGGGTGTGAAAAACGAATAGGAAGAGAAGTGAGAAGGAGGAGAGAAGGGGAGCAGGAGAAGGAAATGGAAATAAGGGGACTAGAGAAGTAGAATATGAACATGGATAAGGGGAAAGGAATGCATGAGGAAGAAGAAAAAGGTAGAAGAGAAACGAAGAAGAAAAAAATGGTCAAAAATTATTTTCACAGATCTTTCCTCCGTCCTCAAAGCGCACAGCAAATATCACTTCTTGGATAATTTATAAAATTTGATTTTGCGAAATTTTAATTTTTGTATGATAACCTCTGGAAAATAAAAACAATATACTTAGAGTTTCTCTTCCTCCTGAAGACGGTACTGCGTACCGAAACACATGTAGCAATGCCTACTAATAAATTATTTAAATTCTTAAAGTTTTTTCTTTAATATTAAGATTAATATCGAGTTTAACAAGTAACCACCTCATCAATACAAATAATTTGGTAATTTTCTGTCTCACACAAAGTGCATAAGATAGAAAGAGGAAAAGTTGTATCTGTGGCATTTCCACCACTATAGCTTGTTGTAAAATTTTTAATGAGCCATCCCCATTCAAATTCATTCAGCTTTTCAGCATAGACTTTGTAGTACAAAAATTACAATTCATACTACAATATTCTACATCGCACTGTAGTCGATGTGCGATTCATTTATTGACCTTGGGGGCTAAAATTGGCAACGTCTTGGCTCGGATCGAAGAAGTGTGAAAGGGCTCTTATACCACTTAAAGAGGTATAAATAGGTATGCGAAGCTCGTTATAGTGTTAATTAACTTTGTTTTAAACATTCTTCTCACATCAGAAGTGGGATTGGTCCTTTCCCGCGATAAGGATAATTAATGCGGAAACAACAGGAAATGCAGTGCAATACGTTTAGTCACGGTAGCGAAGTTGCAAAGATGTTTCACTGATACAGCGACGATGCCGTCACAGAAATGCCAGTGCAAATTAAGTATCTTATTTCCAAATTAATTTCCTTTTTTGTTAAATGAGAACAATTTAAAATAAACAATATAAAAATATAAAACAATATTTTCTAAACATAAATTTTATTTCTCGACCTAATAAGCTGTTACTTAAAAATATTTACAACCGATAATATCCCACTTAATTTGTATACACGAAATAAAATATGTCATCACCGAGATAATGATCAATACGATGATAATAATAGCTGTTTCTAACTAGATCACAGAAAAATCATTCATCACACATTTTAGCCACAGAAAAACAAAATGTTTATTTTTAAACAAAAACAATAAAAACGAAATAAAGCCATGACTTCCAGCAAAAACATAAATATTTGCAATGATCCATAAAACGAAAAATGCGAACGCCTCTGCAATTTCCGTAATAATACGACAAAACTTTTACTATCATCATATCCATATTATTTATTGTTATTATATTTTCCGCATCCTGCCCACCGAATGTTTTTTCAACAATCATTGTCTGATTGGAAAATTCCCACGAATACTTCGTTTAAAATACTAGGCGACACAATTTTTGTAATCATAGAGTCGTATTTTTTGACGAATTAATAATAATCAGCCTTACTAGGTAAAATTTTGAGATGATGTCATCAGACTCTTGGATGGGATGATCAGACAATTTTAGTTAGCGTTTGTTTAACAATCACTCCTGTTTAATAAAATCGTTAACCGACTTCCTGGTTAATTTTTCTCATTAAATTCGGGAAGTAAAAATCTACACGATGAAAAAAATAATGTGCCAATAAAGCCTCAATTTGTCGACTAGTGTAATTTTACTACTTCGTCTCTACTTTCATTATTGGTGTTTAAAAATCGAAATCGCGCACCCACGCTCCATTATTTCTGTTTATGACACATGAATCAAGCTATTTGCATTTATTTATGGCGAAGGCGGATTACTACAACAGTTTTACTATCATCAAATATATGCACGAGCGGAGAGAAAGTGCAAGTGAATATCTTACTAACAAACCCCGGATTTTCTCTGGCAAAAAATCAAAATTAAGCTGTTTGAGCGCGCACATGTTGCGATGAATTGCAGTTCACATTCAGTGGTTGCACAACCGTTTGAGTCGGACTAACAGCTCGTACAGCCTTTTAAGGAAGCGATTTTTTCTGCGTTGTTTTATTTTTATTTTTTCGATTAACAACATGTAAATTAATTTGTTTATACAGTCGGTGCGTGTGACTCAGTCATGTGGTCTAATTCTGTCAGATTTCTAGATCCAGTGGTCGTGGAACAAATTAACGGTTGCACGAACGTGTTTATATTTTGACGTATCCTGTCAAAGCAAACTTGATAGGTGATGTTTGGGAAGTTGCACTTAGTAAATAGAGCGGACCGCTAAATTTCACGTTTATTTCCAGGTGGCGAGGCATTAACATTAGAAATGCACTTCCGGTTTAATCCGGTGTTTCCTGTTTTGTAACTGGCACCAATTTTTGGAGTTTATTGGGTGCTGAATCTGTGCATTAGCAATTATTGTTATGGCCTTGTCAAGTTGCAACGTTACGTGATTTTATTAAATGCTCATTTCATTTCATGACCTCATACTCTAAGTATGACATTAACAATCTAATCACAGCTGGATAAATGTACATCGGTCAAGAAATTATTTTACAATATAAAATATTACGTATTTTTTACAAGTATATAAAACCTGTCTTAAAGGATAACTCTTAACTCAGTTCAAGGAATATAGTTGTTGCATTATATACAGAGTGTTCCAACGGTTTTTTAAACTGTCACTTTTATTATAGTATAGGTTGTTTTGAGTTAAATAGCTACAAACTTTATCACAATAAAAAAATAAATAAAAAAAAATTGGTCTAAAGAGTTTAGACAGTACTTCCCTCGCTGTCGGAAACGTGACGACTGCATGTCTATTATGTTTTTTTTTCGCAGTAGATTTCATTATTTTTTTTGAAGTCCCCAGGTATATGCAAATTCAAAAAATATGAATGGAACGATAAATTACAAGTACAGACTCATCATATTTTGTATATTCTAGATAGGATTTATTCGGCAAACTTTTGAGCTGGCGTCATCAGTTTTTTGTAGAAGATAACCAAATATATTTTGACTAAAAATTTATTATGCTCTTTACAACCTTAAAACATTTGCAAGATTTCAAAACATTCGGTTCTGGAGTTCCTGATTAAATCAATAAAATACATTTACCCATTCATTAATTTTTTTGGGTCACCCTGTATATGCAAATCCAAAAACTATGAATGGAATGATAAATCACAAGAAAAGACTCATCATATTTTGTACATTTTAGATAGGATTTATTTACCAAAATTTTGTGGTGACGTCATAAATGTTTTAGAGGGGATGAGCAAATACATTTTGATCAAACACTTACCATGCTTATGATAACTTTAAAACACCTTCAAGATTTCAAAGCATTCGGTTTTGTAGTTCCTGAGTAAATCAGTAAAATAAATTTACGCATTCATTAATTTTTTTGAGTTACCCTGTATATGCAAATCCAAGAAATATGAATGGAGTGAGATATCACAAGCACAGACTCATCATATTTTGTACATTTTACATAGGATTTATTTGGCAAACTTTTGAGCTGACGTCATCAAGTTTTTTGAGGGGATAACCAAATATATTTTGAGTAAAGATTTATGATGCTCTTTATAGCCTTAAAACATCTGCAACATTTCAAAACATTCAGATTAGCAGATTCAAAATTAAATTGCAAAATGTTGTTTTATAATTTTGATTTTTTTTCCAAAAATCTGGACGTTTCGGGTAAAAACTCAATTCGGAGTCGTAAACTACTTGTTTAGGACTATATTATTTTATACAATTTAAAACCCATTTACTATGTACAATTTTGAAGTGACGTCATCACATTAGTGGTGCGGATGATTAGACAAATTTTGGTTAGCGTTTTACCATCTACATGGTTTTCCTAATATAACTACAAAATTTCACAACAATCGGTCCAGTACTTTCGGAGATTATCTGTCGAATAAAAATCCGGGACGGCCGACAGACGGACAGACGGACGGACAGACGGACAGACGGACAGACGGAAATGGGAGACCTATTTCTTCGTCTTCTAAGGGTCATGAAAGATCGAGAAAACGTAAAAGTAGAGAGTCGGCCGACGGACTCGATAACAATACTTCCTTTGCTTACGCTCGGGAAGTAATAAAGTAAAGTGTATCTGTGACATATATTTTTTATCTAGATACAGATATTTTGTGCTTAAATTTAATTTTATCTAGATACAGATAATAGATAACCAAATATGTACCTAGATACTTTATCTAGATAATGCCCAACACTGACCACAACCAATATCTCTCCGTAAAATGTAACATAGACTATTACAATATTCCTGTTGTGATTTTTTGTGATGTAAAAAAATCAAGAAAATTGAAATAACGTAGCAACGTCGCATCGGAATTTCAAGAAAAAATCATGGTCATAAAGTCAACAATGAGGTCAATAAGCGTATCTAAAAATATACAGAGTGTTCCACTAAAATTAAAACTAGTTCAACTTTACTCTTTTTTTATCTCTAATAGTGACCACCCTGTATATGCAAGCCCCAAGTGGTTTGAACTGGTAGGTGCCTTCCTGTATAATATGTTTCATATTTATTTACACATAATATATATATAGCAAATTCATAGTAAATTTTATTATTATCCATGCATATTCAATATTTTTAGGAGGAAAAAACCGAGGGAAAGAAAGAGAAGAAAAGTGATGGAGAGAGCAGGGGACGGAACTGGAAGTAAGAGGGAGCAGGGAAGAGGGATAGGAAGATGGATAAAAGGAAGAGAGAGCATCAGAAAAAAGAAAAATAAAGGGAAGAGGGAGCAGAGAAGGGGAATTGGGCAATAAAAAGATGAATATAAAGAGATAGGAGAGAAAAGGGAGAAAAAAACAGAGAAACAGGGAACGAAAAGGGAGAAATGCCAAGGAAAAGGAGGGAGATGAAGAAGACGAGCAGAAGAGAAAGGGAAAGAGAGAACGCTGGAAGAAAAAGTAGGCGACGGGGGAACAGAGAAGAGGGAAAGAGACGTGAAGGGGAAAGAGAAGGAAGTGGAAGAAGCGGAGATACAGAGGACACGTGAACAGAAACATAGTAGCAAGGGAATGAAATGCGAGAAGAATGTGAAAAATGAGGAAAAACGAATAGAAGGAAGGAGGAAGAAAGAGACAGGAGAAAATAAAATTGGAAAGAAAAGAAGATCAAGAAAGAAGGAAGATGGAGAGAGAAGGGCGAAGAAAGAGGAGAGAGTAATCAAAGGCAGGGAGAGAGAGAGAAAGAGTAGGAAGGGCAGTCAAGAATAAAGGAGACGGAGGTGTAAGGGAAGGGGAGAAGGAAAACTGTTAGAAGGAGAAAGCAGTGGAAGCGGAATAAATACACAGATAAAAGGAAAAAACAGCACGGAAAAGAAGAACAAGGAAGAGGAAGAAGGAACAAAGAAGGGAAGGGTTAAGACACGTCCAGAAAATATGAAACGAGCCATTACAATACTTCCTCAGCTTGCGTTTGGAAAGTTAAAAGAGCAGAGAAGGGAAATAAGAAAATAGGAAGATGAATACAGAGAGAGGGGAGGGACAGAAACAACAATATTTCAATGTCGAATGGTGAATTACTTTCCGTCAAATACGATAGGGGGGAGAAAGGAGGAAGAAGGAGAAAAACAGAGAACTAAAGGAAGAAAACCACAAGAAAAGAAATAAAGAAGAAGTGGATTCAGTAAGGAAAATACAGGAGACATATGGAGAGAGAAAGGGGAGTACGGGAGTGAAAGAACGAGGAAAAGGGAAGGCGATAAGAGTAATAAAGGGGATGAGGAGAAACGCAAAACGAAGATAGCATGAAAAATAGGAGGAATAATAAAAAGGAAGATGGACAGAGATAACGAGGAAGTAAAAAGAGAAAAGGAAAGAGCAGAAAGAAGTAGGAAGAAGGACGAGAGAGAAATAAGAGGTAAAGAGAATGAGAAGAAAACAGAAGTGTAGGAAGCGACGTGATGAAAGAGGAAGAAGTTGGAAGAAGAGGGAATAGAGAAGGGGAATAACGGGATCGGAAAATGAACAGAGGAACCCAAAAGCTGAAGAGCTACGAACAGAAAAATGTGGCTTTCAATTCTGCTTTTTCTTTTTTTCAGACATCCAGTTCTAAAAGTCTCCTCAGTCCGAGTTTCAATTTTATTGATTAAACTACTTAATTAAATGTGAAATACAAATGTTTTTAATGAATTAGTCGTTTAAAAAACAGACGCCGTACGTCAAAAAATAAAATTTTCGGAAAAACTGAAGTAACTTCCTAATTACCTTAACTAATAAATCAGTTAGAAGTATTAAAATTTTCAACAAAGTTGAATATTAATATTTAGCTTAAAAAATGTAACAACAAAAATGTGATTTGGAGTGGACAATACTAGTCCCCTGGGGGTTCCACAGACAATATCTTTAATAAAATAGACATTTTTAAAATCTATATGAATATGCAACTTGCACTAAAATGTTAGTGAAACTGGGTTACTATTTATCAGTAGATAGTATTTAAAAACAGGTACATCCACAAGGAAATTACATTTCTCAAATTTTCGAATGTAGGTCAGTGTTATGTAGTAATCAACTACCATTCATCACTCACTAAATCACCGAATTTTGCAAAATCTAACTGTAAAATGACCAAAGACAAATTTCTGACAAATGTTAATTGATAAGAAAATGTATATTGATTGATCATTTAAATTTAGCTTCTGGCAGTTGCATCATCGTAAGTTAGTTATGATAATCAGTTAAACCTCACGACTAAAGTAAATGACATCTTGTACAATAAACGCTAATATTATGATATCAGTGATTGTTTTAGTGCAGAAAACATTTGTAATACAATAATTATAGTGATTTAGAACCGGTCAGCTTCATTCAGGTTTTGAAATGAATCAGTACCATCAGCAAAACAAAAAGAACTACATATTTAGTTCAATAGAAAACAACTTATTAAGTTTTACACAAATTACTAATACAAATTTAATATTTTATCAATTAATTTTAATAACATATTTACCAGTCTCCTCAATCCTTTTTATTTATAGAATGTCATAGCATTTATGAAATATCGACTGTTAATGCAATTTATGAGATACAAATGTATTTATATTATCAAAACATAGTTGAATTAAACATAACCACATTAAAATTTATGAGAAATCATCTTTTTTCACCCCACGATCCAAACCGTAATGGTTATAGACACAATTTTATATCTGAACACCAACAACTGTATCAATTTACCTTGAAAATGGCAACTAAAAGAATACTACCCACAGAACAGGAAACTGAAGGCCAAGATCATCACATCTCGGAACAGATAACAAACCACCTTGTGTAATCACAACCTACGTAATCAACAGTTCTACACATCCAACACTACGTCGATTAAGATAAACGCAGTTGCAATTATGCCATTTGAAAGGATAGTCTTAATAACCATAATTACCATCGTTTTAATTACACACATAGCTGCATTTAATCGAGTGCTAAAATTAGAATAATCGTGCCGCAGAGTCCTTTATTAGAACCTCTCCAAATAACCACCTAAACCCAAAGTCAATATACCATTCCAAAAATAGCACCTATCAGCGTTATTCGCCCCCACATGAGATGAAACTCGGATGACAGCTCGTTTACGTTTATTCTTAACGCATGGTTGAAAACTTAAAAAGGTAGCCGCAGCAAATGGGATTTGTCTTCTAGATAGATAGGCTCTTAATGGGTTAATGCAATTAGAAGCAGCGCGTGTACAAATTGTTCCGTTAATATCTAATTGTTATGGCATTGCTGTTAAAACTAAACGATGATTCAGGCGGTAAAGTGAGAACTGGGATTTTATTAGAACAAGTGTGCTTTCAAGGGCTCGAAAATGTCAAGCGCTATTACAAAACGGTATTCAAGTGGAAGTGTTTTAATTGTAGATTTGCCAAAGAGCTAAAGTTAGCACAGACGTTACTTGTTGTCGGTCTATATATCAATAAGATTGTAGATAGGGTGCTAACGTGACTAAAGTTATTACGAATACCACCTGAGATTTTTTTGGAAAAAGGGTCTAATATTATCTAGGCGAGAACACATCTTCTCAACGGGATAATTACAGACGCCGCAAAGTCTCTGAATTACGGGCAATTTATGAACTTCAAAGTCCTTCTAAACAAGAGTCGGTTTCTTTACTTCAAGGCGTTGTTTTGTGACGCGATCTTCATGCGTGGTCGTCAAATAATTAATAGTTTGTCACATTTGGATGAAATATACACATACGGAATATTGCGTGAATTATTACCACATAAGAAATTAACTTGACCTATATTTAAGTTTTATTTGCGTGCTAATTATTCACTTATGCAAATTTACACGCATCGGCTTTGGAGCGGAAGATTTTACATACGGAGTTTATTCTTAGTACGCAATTCCAATTTTATTTGTTTGCGTTAAATCTAGTTTCTGGATTTCTGAAAACTCAGAAATAATTTACGAGCATGCGTGCATTAATGCGAAGGCACATATTTTTCGGGAAACCAACATATTTCAGATGGGATTTGTGGTTTGAGGAAAATTTTTATTATATACTGTCCAGAATAGAGGCATTTGGCTTAAAATTCACACGGTCTCTGAATCTAGAAGGATATACAATTTTTGGAATTAGATCAGAGTGAGAAATAGAATAGAACATTTTGACATTAACAATATATTTGAGTTTGTATGAATACTAACAAGGCATGAGATTACATAAAATTTTTCCATGTGACAATTTGTTTTAAGAACTTATTACATATTACCCAAACTCTATTTTGTTAGTGAGTCCATCCGGCGAACAGCTACTTTTATGTTTTCTCGTAGTTTCATGATTCCAAGAGTATGAAAGAATAGGTTTTCGTCTGTATGTCTGCCTTTTGCAATCTGTGTCGATTTTTATTATACAGAGAACTTCCGAAACTACTGAACCCATTGTTGTCAAATTTTATACGTATTTTAGGAATATCGTGTATCCCCACCAATACAGTGATGACGTCATCTTAAAATAACACGTATGAATTATGAATCCGTCTTGATTTGTCCCCCAAAAATCATCTCAAAATTTATCACTACTGTAAATTAATGAATGAGGCAATTTTTTTTATTGATCAAATTAAGAACGGCTCATCTCATTTTTCCAAAAAATTTGGAAATGAAGTACTACTACTATTATTATTATTATAAGTATTTAAAAACTCATTTGAAACATACGAATCGCATACTTCTTTCCCTTTACTTTAACACTACACACACATTTGTATTTTAACCTCTAGGGGTTATCATAAAAATATAAAACTTGTAAAATCAAATTTTACAATTTTTCAAAAAAGCTGGATATCAGGTGGTGTATTTCAGAGGCGAGAGAAGTTCTGTCGAAAAAATCTTAAACCAAATTTTGTCTAAATAAATGACCAATTAGTGTTGTATGTGTTAAAGTATTATTTAAAAACATTTTTCTTAAAATTAAAATTTTTACAAGCGCAGGAATATTCAGGTCAGGTCAAGTCATAGTTGGAATGAAATTTTATACTTTTTATTTATTTATTTATGTTTCTGAAAATTCCTAAATGTTGCTCAAATTGTTTTTCTCAAAAACTCATTGGTGCATTTATCAATAACTTTTAGTTTTGTTGTAGTGGATTTGTTAATATCAAGAAGTACTTTTAAATTATTTTATGCTTTAAATGCCCAAAATTAAATTTTCTGGTTTAAAATCATTAGGGCACAATAGTAACGTTGTCCAGATGTCTAAAATTGCACATTATGCACATATAGTACTAGGAAGTATCTATTAATCTTATTGGAAATTTTCTCAAAAAATTTGGCTTTAGACAACTTTAATTTTTTTTTAATTTTATTCCAATTAATATTGTTATTTTGCTAAATATTAATCTAAAATTATTTATGCCGTTACTTCGGTAAAACTATAAAATTTGGCTTTTCCAATTTTTCATGTATAATACAAGTAATAACAGAAATGCTTCTAGAATTTCAGGAAAATGAGAAAAGCGATTTCTGATTTAGTCAATACAAATATGGCTTCAGTTAACTTCTCTCGACCTTTCATCACCTCTAGAGTACGAAGAAATAAGTCTCCCGTTTCCGTCTGTCTATCCATCTGTCTGTCAGTCTGTCCGATTGTTGTCAAATTTTGTATTTATATTAGGAATATCATGTAGATGGTAAAACGCCAACCAAAATTTGTCTAATCATCCCCACCAATAATGCGATGACGTCGCTTCAAAATTGTACATAGTAAATGGGTTTTAAATTGTATGAAATAACATAGTCCTACACATGTAGTTTATGATTTCAAAAATCAAAATTATAAAACAATATTTTGCAATTTAATAATAATATATATTTAACCCAAGAACAAAATACAATTTAATTTTGAACCTGCAAAACTGAATGCTTGAAATCTTGCAGATGTTTAACAGTTCTGATAAGTATGATAAATGTAATAATCAAAATATAGTCACTTATCCCCTCCAAAAAATTGATGACGTCAGCTCAAAATTTTGTCGAATAAATCCTATCTAAATTGTACAAAATATGATGAGTCTGTGAACTACAAAACCTAATGCTTTGAAATCTTGGAGATGTTTTAAAGTTATCATAAGCATGGTAAATTTTTTATCAATATGTATTTTTGCTCGTGTGTCCCCCCCCCCAGAAATTGATGACGTCCCCTCAAAATTTTGCTGAATAAATCCTGAATAAATGATGATTCACTGCATTCACACTTTAGAATTGCTTATACGAGGTGTCTCAAAAAAATTAATGATTGAG